CCATCAAATCAGCTTAGAAACCAACTTCCTCAATAAGACTCCTAAGAAGTAAAATCAAGAATCAATAAATGGGATGGTATCAAACTAACAAGCTTCTTCACAGCAAAGGAAACAAGAATATGGAGAGCCTACAGAATGGGAGAAAATCTTTGCCACCTGCATCTCAGAGCATTAATCTCTAGGATATATAAAGAACTCAAGAAATTTAACATCAGGGCTGGGAATATAGCTCAGTTGATAGAATGCTTACCTTGTATGCACAAGGCCCTGGGTTCAAATCCCAAGCACCACAAAAAAAAAAAACAAAAAAAAACCAATCAAATGGGCAAAGGAACTAAACAGGCACTTTACGGATGAAGTAAATATCAGTCAGCAAATATATGAAAAAATGTTCAACACTCTAGCAATTRGAGAAATGCAAATTAAAACTACACTGAGACTTCATCTCACTCTAGTCAGAATGGCAATTATCAAATATCATTGAATTATCAATGGCAAATATCAAATGTTGGTGAGGTTATGGGGGGAAAGGTCCGCTCATACATTGCTGGTGGGATTGCAAATTGGTGCAACCACTGTGGAAAGCAGTATGGAGGCTCCTCAGTAACTTGGAACAGAACCACCATTTGACCCAGTTATCATACTTCTTGGTACATACCCAAAGGACTTAAAATCAGCATACTGCAGTAGTGATGCAGCCATTTCAATGTTTATAGCAGCTCAGTTCACCATAACTAAGCTATGGAACCAACCAAGATGCCCTTCAACATATGATTGGATAAAGAAAATGTGGCATATATATTTATGCCATAAAGAACAACAAAATTATGGCATTTGCTGGCAAGTGGATGGAACTAGAGACTACATTCCTAAATGAAATAAGCGAATCCCAAAAAACTAAAGGCCAAATGTTCTCTCTGGTAYGTGGATGCTAACCCACAAGAAAGAGGGTAGGGAGGAAAGAACAGAAGTTCATTGCATTAGACAAAGGGGAATGAAGGGAAGGGGGATGGAAATAAGAAAGACAGTAGAATGAATTGGATATGACTTTCCTATGCTCATACATGAATACACAACCATTGTAACTCCACATGTTCAACCACAAGAATGGAATACTAATTAGAATAAGTTATACTCCATGTACATATAATGTCAGAATACACTGTACTGTCATGTATCTCTTAAAAAACCTTCTAGACATAATATGCAAAAATTATCAGATCTATATAAAGAAAACTACAGATCATCCCTAAAAAATATACTTGGATACAAAGACGATAGGACTCAACAAGATATTTGTTTCATTTTACAAACTTAACATCCTTATAAACATTTTTTTCCTAGCAATACTGARGGTGAGTGTTAGATTTCACTTGAAAGAATAAGTAAGAACATCAAAAACAAAAAACCTAGAAAACAATAAGAAAGGTAGTCTTATTAGGTTATTAGAACAAGTTACAAAATCTAAAAGTGTTGTATCATTGGCACATAAATAAACCAATGGAAAATAATTCTTAAAAATTCAGATGTTGATGCAAGTGAATTGGGAAATTTAGTGAGTGATAGTATTTTTAAATCCACAGTATTCTGACAATTGAACAGTTTTGTGGGAAAAGATAAAATTGTATTTCTCCTACTTCACATATAAATTAATTCCAGATAGGTCAGAAATCTAAACATAAACAAAATTTTTCCAGTCCCAGAAGAAAAATGTAGGTAAGTTCCTTGATGGAATGGGGAAAACTCTCCTGAATAGAATTTTTTTCTCCTAAGGACAATTATAAGAATAATAGGCAAAAAATGTTTGTAGTTCATAGGAAAAAGAAAACCAGTTGCTCAAACATGCAGAAAAATTCCTACCATTCTTCCATTGCTCCCCTAAAGATTGATAACACTATGAGTTAAGACATCACGTTCTGTTGATGCTGTAGCATCCGACATACAGCATGTAGACATTCTCATAAACATTGCTACTAGGAAGGAAATTGACACTGTCTAGTAAAATTACAAGTGACATGCTCAAGACTGTTCACTGCAACACTATTATAAAAAGAAAAAACCAGAAACCATCCAGATGTACAGGAGACTACGGTGGGGAGGAGAGAACATTTTTAAAAGAACATACCATGGTGCAAATGAGTGTATGCTAGCTTTTATGCAGAATGTATGCATTTGCATTTGCTTATACAATAACTGATCTACACAGTTACCTATGTGAAGGGAGGAACAGGACTGGACAGGAGAGAGAAGACTCCTGAATGTTTAATAGTTTTTACTTCTAAAACATGTAAACAATTTTCAAGCACAGTACTTCAGTTAGACTGGGGACTTACCTGATGATAGAATCAAAGAAATCTTAAATTTCACACTTAAAAATAGTAATATACTGCCATTATTTCAAAGCAAATAGATGGGAGCCAGAGTGTCAGCCTCAGAAAAAGAACTACAAATATAAAAATGAAAGTAATGAAGCAAAAACTCCAATTTTGACACATGTAAAGGCAAATAAGTTTGCAAGAAGGCAGTATTAAAAAGTGGATTTTTTTTTTTTTTTTGGTGGGGGGAATTTTAAATCTCTTTACTGTCAAGTTCTGAGTAGGTCGAGTTCTGTATCTCTAGATGTTCCTCTGACTTTTCAGTATGGAAGAAAGTTTAGCTTAGTTATCCCTAAGAATCTTTTCCTTCTCATTTTTAGCCAAATTTTTATTTACTACTACTCTACTTAGCTCTTTCCATTTCTTTTTTTTTTTCCAATATGACTGAATTTTTGACAAGATCCTGGTCTCAGTTGCAGTGTTCAAAAGGAACCATATAAAGCGCTATGAGTTTATAATGATACTGTTCTAGGTGACTGGGTGTGACAGAGCATAATCCAATCTTAATGCATGTAAAACACTAGAATTTCAGTTGTGGCAGGGATTACGTTGGTATAGCAGTCCAAGCATGACAGGAATATCATTTAAAACCCAATGAGGCCTTGGCAATGAGTTTTTATACTCAGTTCATTTTAGAAACCTTATCTACTTTCCTACATTTCAAATAATTTGTATACTTTTTTGTTTTTCAAGATGGCTATTCATATGAAAAGGAAGCAATGGAAAATTGGATCAGCAAAAAGAAGCGTACAAGTCCAATGACAAATCTGGTTCTTCCTTCAGTGGTTCTTACACCAAATAGGACTCTGAAAATGGCCATCAATCGATGGCTGGAGACACATCAAAAATAAAACTATTAGCTGAAGTTGGTTCATGCCTGAAATCCCAGCGACTCAGGGGACTGAGGCAAGAGGAATCAAAGTTTGAAGCCAGTCACAGCAGTTTAGCGAGATCTTGTTCAAAAAATTTTAAAAGGGTCTGGGAATGTACCTCAGTGGCAGAGCACTCCTAGCATGTGCAAAGCCCTGGGTTTGATCCCCAATACTGCAAAAATAAATAAATTGTTATGTTGTATTATTTATATTTTCAGTGATCTCATTTGAATTAAATACTAAGCAAGCATTATTAAAAGCAAAACAGAAGGAAAAATAAATTTAGTTATAAAAATCTTCAATTTTCATTCTTTAAAATTCATGGACTTAATTATACATCTTTTTTGTACTAATGAAAAAAATAAAACTTTACTTTGACTTTAAATTGGAGTGCTTTAAATTTATTCTGGTTAGGTATGGGTCATATCACTTTACAATTAAAGATCAGAATGCTACATAACAGATGTTTATATCCTAGTTAATAGCCATTTGTCTGATAACTTGAGGATTTATAACAAAATAATTATAAATTGCTTATAATTGAGAAAATCACTTCAGACATTTAATAAGCAATTTTGTTGGACTCAATTTGTAGGATACTAAGGATTTTTATTCAAACCCAGATACAAGTTAGATAAAATAAATTACCATGAATAAGTCAATTTGACTTTGCATAATATACAAAGGGGCTAACTAGCCTCCTTTTAAAATTCAGACTTTTTAGAAGTTCTTGCAGGGTAATTATACAATGGCATTTTTACATAGTACTCTGGGGTATTTAATACACCACCACCACCATCCTGACTGGTGTTCACTCAGTGGACTTTCTGGGCCCCAATGTTGGTTCAGGATTATGTAGAACCAGCGCTTGTGCCCTCTGACCCACATCTTCCTAATGAAATTTCACTTCTTGGGTTAACTGACCCAGTGTYCTCTTTTAGTAAGACTAAATCAAAATCATAATTTAATGTGTTACTAATTTTACTAACACACTGGCTGCTTTACAGGAAAAGACAAGCATGTCCAAGCACCCAAGGACAAGAATTATGTATTATCCAGTTTTTTTAATATATATTTTTAAAAGGAAGATGGACACAATACCTTTATTTTTTTATGTGGTGGATAGGATTAAACCCAATGCCTCACACATGCTAGGCAAGAACTCTACCACTGAGCTACAACTGCAACCCGGGTTTTGTTTTTAAACTTTCTATAGCTTTGAAAGACTGAATATACTTAGGTTTCTAGCAATACTAGTTACCAGACAATAACCTAAAATAATATTAGGCTGAAGATTCCAACTTAGAATTTTATGATAAAACAGCTTACCATTCACTCTGATTCACTCCTTTGAAACTGAAATATGTGGTTATAAAGACAAATACAAACACTGAACACAAATGTGTTAAAGAACAAACTGTCATAACAATGCTCAGTGTATTGCCAAAGTGCCCGAGAGTTAAAATATTAAAGATCTCCTGTTGCCAACAAAAACAGACAACTAATAGATTGCTTTTCCTCATACTTTCTATTTCAGACAAAAACACCAACTCTGACCCTTGAATATTTTGGAATTTCTAGAAGCTGCTACCCTTATTCTAAAATTATAAAATGAAAYTTAATATGTATTTGGTAGTATTTGTATAGAAAAGTATTACCCCAAAGCAAAGAGTGAAATGCAGAGGTTAAAACAAGGCAGGAGCTGTTGTGCTCTATTTATCCAGTGAGTCAATGAATGCCAACCCAAGTCTAGTAATGGCCTTTATTCCTTATGGAAAAGTACAGTAGTTGTGCAGAAACAAAACTACATAACAAAAGAGTAAGACTTTCACAAATATTAAAGAAAATAATAAATAAGCTATAGTAGTTATAGAAGAACTCATGGAAAGCCTATAAAAATGATAAAGCTGTTTATACAAAGCACACTGTACACACACGCAGGAACAAATGTTGAAGAATGACACCAGGAAGTTCCTATTCATACAAAACCCTAAAGATGTTCACAGGAACTTCATAACTATTCATTTTTAAAACATTCTGCAAATATAGAACTTCCTTTTCCCCAATTCTAGAAAATAAATTTCACATCCCAACATATAAAACAAATATACTTCCACCTCTCTTAACCTAGTATCTTAACATCCTCCAATAGCACACAATTTCATATAAAAATACCTTTGAACCAAGGTTCATTCTTGTACCTTGTCTTTACAAATGCATAATACATCAGTTTGKACTTAAGTAGCACCTCGAAGGTGTTCTTATATAAATGAGATAAAGTGCCGTTATTGATATACTGTTAACATGCCATAATAATACATCATTCAGTGCAATAACCAGCGTGGATGAAACTTACAAAGAACATGCAAATACATGACTGGGATTTTATTTGCTTCTGGTTTTAGATTAACTACTTTGAAATAGTTATATTTACAAGTTCAAATAAGGCTGGGCTATTTAATATATACAACATGTGACTATGAAGTAATGATTGTATAACAAAAGCAACAACCAACCATATGTTAAATAACCAACTTAAATACTGTCCTTAAGGGATGTTGGAAGGCTTGTTTTAGGAACATTAGCACTGATAAGAGCAGTTTGAAACCAGTTGAGACGGAATCTATTAGCTACTAAGAATGCTGCTCTTAGTATTTTAGCTCAAATCCAATTTAGGACAACCAATCAAGGTTCCAGAGAGCTTAGACTGTTTCCACRTATTAGAACACCTTGAAGCATGAATATTGTTTCAAAAAAGGTGCTATAAAAGTATTTTGATTAAGAACCGTAACGTGGGAATAAGTGTTTAATCCTCTTAAAAGAACTTCTTTTATAAAGGGAACAATACTTCATGTTTTGCTTAAAGAACAAAAAAAGAAAATATAAGCTATATTTATAGTCATATAAATTCAGCTAAAAATCACTCAGGTTTTAATTGTATATATATGTAAAAATAAAATTGGAATTTGACTCAATGGAACTGTAACTTGAAAATCCCATCTTTTCTAGAATATGTCATTAGGATATTATATCATGAGTTAAACCTTTTGTTAAAAAAAAAAAGGCCATTGTTAAGTACCATGATTTTACCACATAGCAAAGGCTAGGAGGAAAGTGATAAAAATCAAATAATTTTCCTAAGAAAAGTTGACATCTTCTTTACTGTCTTAAATTTTTAACTTGATGGGTAAAGCTAACTGTAGTTTTTAGTTCTATTTAGCGTTATTATGGTGATTTCTAGTGACTTATTAAAGTTTTATTCTATATTTTTAATATATCAGTTGCATCTGATCCACCCTAGATGGGAAAAAAAAGAAAAAAAAACATGGCTAAAAAGTGATTTTTATGATGAAAAACCATTTAATTATTTACCACCAGGAGCCAACACACTTTTCCAAATCCTACAAATGAGTCTCTTTAGGCTCACACATTTGACTCTATGAATGATCGCTTTGGTTTCGCTGTAGTGAGGTGGCTCCTGTGGGCTTCATTACTGACATGAGGTGGTGGCTTGGAGATACTTTCCTGGTAAAGATGAGAAACGCTCTTAGTTACCCTGGTGTCTTGGCGGTGGACTGGAATTTGGCACTTGTTTTCTTCTAGCTCCTTCACCTGGGCCCCATTGTGGACACTGCCACTCAGGGTGGAGGCAGAACAGGTTTTGGCTTGGCTGGTATATCCTTGTTTGAGAGAGGGCTTCTCAGAGTTAGAGCACTGCAGGCCAGCTGCAGCGGGGGATGTGCCCGTCAGTAGCCCCTCTGCCACCTGGCAGTGCCAGGTGCGGTTTGAAGGGTTGCTCTGCTGTTGGAACCTTGCCGTCTTGTCCATGATCCCCATGAATGGAGTACTGCGGGGGGGCCTATGCTCGGTGGCGCTGCTCTGCACCTGGCTCACAACCTTGTCTTTAATTCGAGCATCTGGTCCTTGGACCTTGAAGCCATCTGAAAAACTACTGCTTGAAGTCAAACTACTGGTTGAACTTGACATCTTTATACTGCTAGATGGAGAACCAGAGGAGCCTGAGCTGGTGAGGGAAGCTGGGTGTCGTGCATCGCCGCAGCCCACTGGTCCRCCCTGGCTCGGAGGGGCTACATCCATGGCCACAGAGGCATGGCACAGGAGCCTCTCGGCAGTTTTCGCCTTGCTTGGCAGAGCATATGCAGCACCACTCTCACTGCGCTGCAGCTGGACATTCTGGCTGGGGCCCAGCTGATCCCCAAAGTGGCTAGAACCAGCTCCAACAGTAAAGGTACCTGCTCCCTCTACATGCTGGTTTCTGCTCCCAGCAGGAGCTGCAGGGATCCTGCCTGGCATGGGGCTTGGAGGAGGATTCTGACAAGAGACCTGTATTTTTGTGCTACTGTTTCTGATGCCAGACTGGCCAGAACCCAGGTGTTGGTTTGTTTTCACTATCTGTGCCTGTTTGGTGGGCTGCATAACCAACCCCGGCTGAGCCACAGTCTCCCTTAGGGACTTGCTGACTCCTGCCCTGCTCTGTGGCGATACTGGCCTGCCTTTGGACTGTAACCCTTCTTGAAGGTTTCGGATATACGGGGAAGGGGCAGACGAGGATGGCTGCTGGCACCTGGGAGTCGGGGAAATGGATTCTTCCTGTGGAGAAGTTTCCTCCTCTTCGGCCTCATCGAAGTGAAAGTGGTCCTTTAACCCAGGGGTTGGGGTGTCCTCCTCATCTTCRTTATCAGAGGCACCCGGTGCAGCTGGAGGGGAGCACTGCTGTTTCTGCTGCTGGTTCCTCTGGAGTTGCTTGCACTCCTCTTCTACACGGGCCAGGAGCCTCTTGATTTCCTGATTGGTGGGACAGAGTTTCACAGCCTCCTGCAAGTCAGCCAGAGCTGCCACGAACTGCCTTTATATGAAGACATAAGATATGGTCATAGGCCGTGTATGAACATGGTCTGTTTATAACTGTTCAGAAACTAGCTGTGCTCACAGGAAGAAAAAGGTAGCTGCATGAGGTCTGACCACTTACCATGCACCAGGTCCTGTTTAGCACACAGTTACTCAGCTAACCCAGATCTGTGTGGCTTATGTAGGTGCAACTCAGTGGACGCCACAGTACCTCCATTGGCCCCTCACTACGTCTACCTCTCAGAAGGCATGCACTACACTTCCCTCCCCTCCCTGCCCCTGGTTGGCCACCTCCCTAAAACATGGACTCACTCCAGTGCTCAGTGTTGCAGTGAGTCTCAAATGGGTTGGAATAGTTACTGAGATTTTGGGAGCCAACAGGAGTTTAGCCATCACCCATAACACCCACTACCTTGCCTCCTGGAAGATGCTAACTTAGTATTCAAAGGGACAAGAGGCATCTGAGTAACCATAATGAAGCAAAACTTCCTCAAATTCAACTAGTAATTTTAATTCCAAAGGCGGGGGCGGAGGGAAGGCTCCTGTAGTTGGACAGGTGACCCCAGACAGTACCTGCTATTTCTCTTCGCTCTTGCTCTAGCATAAAAGGCTTCATAGGACTTGGGTTTCAATTCCAGAGCCTTGGAAGCAAATTCTTCTGCCATGCCAAAGTCCTGGTGTCAATATTTAAATGCACAAGTCAGATGCAGTACTGAAACAATTACAGGCAACTCTTTCATAGGACCTCAGCTAAAAGGTGGCAGAGTTTTGGGAGATAATTAGAGGAGGATGAAGGACAAGATTAGTTTTCCCGTTTGTCTTGTTTGAGATTTGGTTAGACAATCACAGGCCATTACTATGCTCAGGAATCCAGCAACTGATGGCTCTGGAGGGAGATCAGCAGTTGAGCCAGGGGTGCAGATCAGCACTGGTAGAGGTGTGTCTGCTTCAGTAGGAAGGTGACAATGTGGGAACAGGCAGGTCTGATGGGGGCAAGGGCAGGGGTCGGGGGTGGTGAAGTTAAAAAAAAAAAGTACTGAAACCTCTACTAGTTACAAATTAACCATGAGTGAACCACAATTAGTTACAAATTAGTCACTGGCAAGCTCCCTGTGCAAACCTAAGGAACCTTAGACAGGCAGACTTTATAGACTTTTGTGTTGGGACCTTTTTTCTGAATATGGGGGTGGGCAACTGGTGGCAGTGTTGGCAGTGTCCCTGCTGGGAAGCGAGGAGAGGAGCAGTTTGCATTTGCTTCTCTCAAGGGAGCAGAGGAAACTAAGCCCAGTGCATTCCCTGCCATGTGGGGAGGCGGGCAGTGACTGTGACTACAGGTGGTCATCAGAGAGCAGACAGTGCTGCTTCCTACAGGACAGGTTCCTATAAGGAAGGATACCAGTCAGAGAGCAGATCCAGACCTGGGATTTGGTCTGTGGCAGGGCTGGCCTTTGCCATGTGAGTTCTACCACCAAAGGTCTGGGTTAGAATAACGGCCTCGGCTTACGTTTGTTTTTCTTCGGCATCGAGACAAATTGAGATAAAGGGAAACTCTTAGTTCATTGAAAGGTCTCATGTCCTCCCCAAATCCTTCTCGAGGAAACTTTCTTAAGGCGTACTGGTACCGCTGGGCTGCCTCCTTCATCTTCCCTTTCTAGGATTCAAAAAAAAAAAAAAAAAAAATCACAGAAATTTTTCCTTTTTTAGAATAAACTCTCACCCCCTAGAGACCTCCACGTAAAACCCTCCCAGCACATGGAAAGGTGAATAGGTGCCAGGGCAGAAGCTAGGACACTAACCAGCCCGAACATGCTCGAGCTCCATATCCACACTGGCCTCCATGACATGCGGTCACACAACGAGGGGGAAGATGGCTTTACAAGAGGAGGATTGTAAATGGCCAAGTTGATATCCTTCCATCTTAATGAATTCAACTACCTTCTTAGTTATTATGTATGATTAAAAGTTATTTCAAGAAGGATCTCTCATCTAAAGATATTTTTAAGGCCAAGTGTAATGAAAATCAGAAGAAAAAATGATGTGGTTTCCAAGGCAAGTGGAGACTTGTGGATAAACCCAGAGCTTGTTGCAGAATAATAATTTCTCTTTAAGGAAGAACTAAAACATGGGCTTTAAAAATCAGAGCAGCACCACATCATTTTCAAGGCTAAAGAAATCCATTTGCTCAGTCAGCCCCGTCGCGCAGCAGGCACGCAGCCTGTGGAAAATGGCTTGATGTTTCTGACATAATTGCCTACCAAAATCCATATTAAAACCACTTCAAAGCCACAACAATGCACACTCTGAACTCAATTTCAAACTGATTCCAAGCCAGGAGCCCCGCTGGGTCATGCTATATGCCTATTTATTTGTTACTATTAAAAAAATAAAAAGGGAAAAAACGTACAACATAGCAAATACAGCTGCCTGATAGTAAAAAGGATTAAGATGGTAACAATCTATTTTTTTTCTCCCTCGTAATCTTTTAATTCTATCTAATTACAGTCCAGAAAAAATAGAAATCTATGTAAATGCCCTCCATGTCTATCTAGACCTAGGGTTGGCAAACTAGAGCGTGCTGTCCAAATCTGGCCTGCCACCTGTCTTCACAAACGAACTCTTACTGGGCCACGGCCACATTCCTTCACTTGCGTATTATCCGTAGCTGCTTTGTACCACTGTGGTTTGCAAAACCTAAAATATGGGCTATCTGGTTATTTACATTTTACCAAAAAAAAAAAAAATCTATGAAAAACTGGGCATGGTGGCAGCTCAAGAGACAGAGGCAGAAGCATTACAAGTTTGAGGTCAGCCTGGGCAATTTAGTAAGACCCTGTCTCAAACTAAAATATAAAGGGTTCCATCTCTAGTACTACCATAAGCAAAAAGTAAGTAAATAGATAAAATGATAGGAAAGGCTTGGGAGACTGAATGATTATTTTCTTCTGGAAATACTTCCCAGGTATTCTTTTCCATGGGTCACATACTGTGCCCAGTGCTGTGCTCTAAATGTGGGGAGAACATGAAGGCTAAGGAACCTCCTGTTGCTGTGCCAGATGAGATAGAGGTGACTCTCCACAGCTTCAGGCAGGAAGTTACAGCTTCAGCCTCAAGAATTAGTTCTGAAGTGATGTTTCTCAGACACAAAAGAGAAGTGCTTTCTAGTTAAGATTCTGCTGTTGAGAGATTAAACAAATCCTGGGCATGAGGCCAAGTTAGCATCTCTTAGAACTTCCATTACCACTAAGTTACATATGCTGTGTGCAGAAGCACACCTCTGGCCATAAATACCCATCTAAAAGGTTGCTTTGAGGCAGTTACTGCAGCAGAGAAAGGGTGCTACCACTTACTTTGTACATCATGTTTCCTTCCTCCATTAATTTCTGTAAAAGTATAATCAAGATATCAGGTTTGGAAGTGGCCATCGCCCAGGCAGCATTTCCTGCAAAACAAACATGCTTTCAGGAGTGCTTCAGAAGTTCCAGAGAAAAGCAGTTCAGTTCTCCTGTCGCCCTCACAGCTGCACACAAACAGCAGGAGCCCTACTGCAGGGACCACTGTTGTGTCTTGGGCTTCCAGAAGGCAGTATGGAGGAGGAAAGGGAGCGAGCAACTGTGAGGTAAGCTGGAGCTCTAACCTATTTTATGCTGAACTAGGCACACAGGTGGAGAATGGTGCCAGCACCAATCTGTCCTGTTGAAAAACTCAATGAGACACTAAGGCATCAGAGCAGTTAAGACCCACCCCTTCCTTTTGAGAGGTGGCAGCAACTGATCCAGACCTCAGAGTAATCTCCCTAYGCACCCATCATGCCAGCAGTGGGCAGGCTGGTGCCCTGAGTCCCACGCAGCCTACTCTGTACAGTCCACTCTGAGGTGTCTTAGTTTGAGCCCTCCGGCCTGTCCCCATCCACTGGCCTACATCATAGCTACTGCCTCCTCTCCAGCCCACTCCAAGCACTGGGGCATTGCAGGAAGGCAAAGTCCTAGGCACACGCTGTGACTCGGCCACTTACTAGTTAACTATGTGTCTTGGTTTTCTCATGTAAAATGATGTTATTATCACTACTCACCTACAGGGCTGTGGGGAGAATCAAGTTAAAATGGGGACCCTGCTTAGGCAAGTCCCCAGTGCCATTAACCACTTAATATTTGCAAACGGTGCTTTCATCACAGTCCTTGGCCCAGAATTGCTCTTGGCAAAGTTCTTAAGCATTAAACCAAGATAGGGATGCTTTAGTTGCTCTTTCCTCCGCAGGCTGAGTGGTATGATGTCGAAGCATAGGGACAGGGCTCTCCCTGCTCAGCCCCTCCATACATAGTTCAGGTAGTGCGCCCATCATGCTTCCAAGAAATCCCTCCAGTTCTCCTTCAGAGAAACCACACTGGGGTTACCACCTCCCCAGCCGGGCTGACCACGCTGGCTGCTATAGAACAGAGGACCTCAGCCTTGGCCGCTCCCCAGCATCACCTTGTAAGCTTCCATTCCTACTGATGCTCCACCAGCCCCAGAGTTAGAGCCCAGTGTAACTCCTCCCTGATGTGGCTCCACTGTGTCCCAAATACCTATGACTCCACACTGGCCTCAGCTTTAGTTTCTGTTTTCTACCCACACACATAAGATTATCATAAGCTGCTTAAACCATGTTAGATGACTGATGAAATAACACAGAGGAGAGAGAGAAGGGGAGTGAGGACGAGAGACAGGAAGTGCTCTCTTTCTCATCCTGGGAGCAGGAGCTTCATGCTCCCTAAGGGACTCTGAAGTCTGAAGCTGAACAGAGGCGCAGTTCACTGACCTAACTTGGCTCCTTTTCTGAGTAGTGTAACCACAACAGAGGTGTTTCGACAACCAATGGCTCTGTCCAAGGGACGCATTCCGCTGTGGTCCACATGCTCAATCACGGCTCCCTTCTCAACAAGGTACAGCACCTGCAGTGGGGGAGAGCAGAATCCTGAGAAGCAGCGCCTGGCAGGAACTGGGCCACTCGCCTACCTCCCAGATGTTGATAAACTATTGAATTTTGGGGGCTGACAATCTTAGTTTTTCTCCTATTTCAGATGCCTCTGGCCATTAGGGATCCCAGGATGGAAATGAAGTTAACATGAACAATCAAAAACAGGAGCTGCCGCTCACAGTTAAAGCCTTCTCTGCTAAAGTGGCTTTGCTACCTGCAACAACGGGGAGGATGGGCAGATGAGACACACATGTGCATAGTGTGTGACCGCCTGTCTGACCCCACTTGCTGGTCAGAGAAAGGAGACGGTCGCCTCTGCCTGCAGTTAACTAGCAGTGGGACTTCTCCACTGAGCTGYAGTTTACATCTACAACTAAAAACAAAACCAAAAAAAAAAAACTTATTAAAAATTATATTTAACTAAATATTTGTTTTTGACAGTCAGGAAGTACAGTTTGTAACGTACCACTGAACTCTAACGCTTTGCATGTGTGTAGTGTGTGTGTGCAGGGATAGAAGCCAGGGCCTCATGCATGCCAGGCAAGTGCTCTGCCCCAAGCTGCCTCTCCAGCTCGACCTCAGTGCCTCTGCACAGCACAAGGTCTCCCGCTCCCAGCAGATGCACCGAGTCCTCAGGCCAGAGTCACTGAGGACTCTCTGGCACCTCAGAGGCCTGCAATGTGGAGCCTGACAATAACAAAGCTTCTTCCCTGAAAGACATCTCCCGGTTCTCACTTTATTGGTCTTCCCCCCCCCCCTTTATGCCCCCACTAGATTTAGGCATTTGGCAAAGAGATAGAAATAGTGCCCAAAACCTTTTTATATTTTTAGGCAATTAATACCACATTACTTTAAAAACACCAACCAGTAAATGCACAAAATGGAATATTATTTGCTCTCAAATAGGAAATCCTGTCATTTGCAACAACATAGATAAACCTAGAGAATGTGACACTGAATGAAACAGGCCAGGCATACGAAGACAGGTACTGCATGATCTCACACGTGTTTCCTGAAGGATCAATGCAGGGATTCTATTTACACAGATCACTGTGAGGAAATGAAACTACATATGCATATGGGTATACATACTCACATGCATGTCTATAGTAATTCAAGGTTGTAAGCAGGTCATTTTAAGCTTTTAAAATGCTTGACATTATTTACTAAGTCCTGGAATGGACTGCACATCACAGAATGGGGAAAAATTGAAATTTCACCCACCACACCCAGGCCACACCCAGGTATATGTCAGAAACATCTTTGGTTCTGGGTCCTCTTTCCCACAGTGGCCCACAATGGCCTGCAGGTGGAGGGGAGCAAAGTCTCGTGGGTACTCACAGTTTCGGCATCGCCATAGAAGGCGGCCAGGTCCAGGGGAGTACGGCCGTTTTTGTCTGTCTGGTCTATCTCAGCTCCTTCTTCGACCAGATACTGGACCACTGCCCTGTGGCCTTTCAGACAAGCCCAGCTCAAYGCAGACAGACCCTCTTTGTCCAGAGAAGAAAGGGTGGCACCTGAAAGGAAAGTCCAGTCACATAAAGGGGACCTTACATGGCAAAGGCCAGAAGCAAAGGGTCTCCCAGTGCAGAGTGCCCAGTCACACAGTGCGCTGGGCAGAACAGCATGTCACTTGAGCACCGAATTTTAAAGCTGATGGCCGAAGGGTCAGCACTGAAGCTGAGCGGTGATATGCAGCCCGTGCCACCTCTTCTTTCTGCTTGTGTGTGTGAGGAGATTCCCAGAACAAAAACAGATCCATTTCCATAACTAAAAGACTGAAAATTGGAGGCAGAAAAGTACTGAGTGGGTCTACTGAAACTCTGTCCCTGCAAAGGAAACCTACGCAGGGCAACATGCCAGCTACCTTTTGAAAGGAGGAATTCCACGGTGCTTAAGTGCCCTTCACAGGCAGCCACCATGAGGGGCGTCCGGCCCTGCTTGTCACTCAGGTTCACATCACAGCCACGTTCCAACAGCAGCCTAACGATCTGAAAGAAGCACTCAGAATTAATCTCCTTTCTGCAATAGTATGCCGCATTCTCTCTATGCAGCAGGCACTTCAATCTTTGAAAGTAGATGAATGGCACTTTTCTTGTAAAACTCCATGTTTCTGAATGTTGTGTGATACATGGAGTCTGTACGATCTTCCTACTGCATTCCTTTGAACAGAATCTTTTTCCAAATATATGCTTGTTTTTAACATTCCCAGTTTATTAGTGTATCTACAAATACCACATGTGCCAGGCAGAAACAGTCATTTGCAGGAAGCGATGCCAATCACAATCAAGTAATGACATGACAGCTATAGTGGGGGAGGTGAGATAACTAAGGATGACTGAGGATAACTAAGGGGGTTAGCAGGGTCACCTGGGCCCCAAGCAGGTGCTGGAGCTAAGCAGAGGCAGCCCTTTGTGCCCAAGGATCCACGCTGGTGGATGCATAGACAGCAGATTGAAAATATTCAGAAAACAACTGCACCTGTCCTGAACATGTACAGACTTTTTTTTTGTCATAATTCCCTGAACAATACATCATAACTTTACATAGCATTTACATTGCACTAGGTATTATAAACAATGTAGAGATGGCTGAAAGTTCTTGGGAGGGTGTGTGCAACTGCATAGTATATGCAATTTTATATATGAGACTTTAACATCCTCAGAGTCTGATATCTCCAGGGGTCCTAGAACAGATCCCCCCTGGTCATGAAGGAACTCACTGTACCTACAAGAGTAGAGCATGGGGCAAGGGAGGGGCTGGGAAAAAGCTGGCCTGCCACACCGAGCAACACGCTTTCCTAAATGCAGGGTTGGAGGATGGTTTGCCCTTCTCCAAGGGCAACTTTTAACCTCAGAAATACCCCCTTACACYATGTATGGTGGTAAGCCTGGGGAGGAAAAGAAGGATGGCAGATGTCTCAGGATGCCATGAGAGGGAAGTGCTTTATCTACCATGGGTCCAGATGATTCCCCTGACACTTGATTCATCACCTCACCTCAGTGACAAAGGTGGCACATTCCCATTGTTTTCAACCTTCCCCTGACAGAGACAGAGCAGGCCCTGCAAAGTCACAAAAGCTTTGCTCCCGTGCATCTGTAGCTCCTGTCATTTGGTTACCTGTTGGCCCAWCACACTTGAAAAAGAGTGGTTCTATTATGCTTCTTGGAAAAGGAACCATTTTTCAAGGCTGTCTTTAATTCCAGGGGCCAGGGGGTGCTGGGGAGAAAAGGGTCTTGCATAGTAGTTGCTCATTTACACCTTCATTTTGTAAACAAGGACCACGTACCTGCCCCACACCTGGCACCAGGTTGCACCTTGCCTCAAACACAAACAGATGGATCTTATGCCTATTATAGGAAGAATGTTCCCCTGGCTAATCTCAGTGTCTTGTGTGGTCAAATGTGTGCTTCTATCCAGCAGCCCTGAGGACATGGGCAGAGGCCAAGGATGGGACATACTGGGGGTAGGGGGACAGGTGGCATGAGTCCCCATCGCGAACCCCATCCCTGCTCATTGTTTCTGAAGCATCCAGAGGCTCACTGGGTACCTGCCAATGCCCCTGGCGTGCTGCACAAAACAAAGGAGGGACCCCTCTCCTGTTCGTCCGAGATACGGCAGCTCCACGCTCCAGCAGCAGCTCACAGACCTCCAGCTTCCCTCTTCCCGCGGCCGCAGTCAGCGCTACAAGAAAGCCAAGGAGCGAGGGGAGGCCGTTAGCAGTGTGGACCAGAGGGGGCCCCAGATTCTTTGATATTTGTTCTCCTCCAGGTATTCTCTGCCCTTGAACTTGGGTGGGCTGTGATAGCTGTGATCAGTGGGACACAGCCAGAGTGACGCGGTGCCAGTGCCTGGGGCCCAAGAAGAAGCAGGCAAATTACACTTCCTTGGGACACTCACTCTTGGAACCAGATGTCCTGCTTTGAGGAAGCCCAAGCAGCCCTGTGCTGAGACCCATGGAGAGAAGCAGTGTGGTGTGCAGCCGGTGAGCTCCCAGCRCACGGCCAGCACCAGGCTGCCGGCCATACACAGGAGCCTCCCTGGGAGGGGTCGCTGGCAAAGTCAACCGGCTTAGAGCGTGTGGGGGCTGCCCTCCCCAGCTCCACCAGGCCCCGCCCCAACTGTAGATTCAGGAGCCACCAAGTTTTGTTTTTGTTTTTTTCACAGCAAGAAATAACCAGAATACAGTACATCACAAACACGGTAGTGTGGTCCAGCCTGGCCTCTCCTCCTCAAGTCAAATGTTACCCAACAAAACTAATTTCCTTAGGCAGTCACAAGCGTATCACATCACTCCTGCTCTGATGGAGCTTGGCATAACTTTTACAAGTAAAAAGAGAAAAACGGGATTGGATCGTGGAGGCTGTGGGTGCAGGTTCTGCCATCGGAAGGACAGGTCTAACGCAACAGAAATGGCAGGAAGGGAAAGAACAAAGTTGGGTTCTCAGGACCTCCCAGCAGTGATGGTCACCCCCTCGAGTAAAGGGCAACAGCAGGCAGCAGGGACAATCCCAGGCCAGGGCTGTTCATGGTGCAAGAGGACAGGACCGGGCTGAGGGCATAGGAGGGATGTTCCTCAGGAGGAGCAGGYGTGCGGGGGAGGAAGGTACTAATCTTAGCCAAGCACGGCACTGGGGCTCCAGTCCTGGTGCAACCTTGAACCTATCACTCCCAGCTTCCATAAGAGAGTGAGCTAGGGGCTGGGGTTGTGGTTCAGTGGTAGAGTGCTCGTCTCCCATGCGTGAGACCCTGGGTTCGATCCTCAGCACCACATAAAAAATAAGTGAATGAAATAAAGGTATTGTGTCCAACCACAACTATTAAATAAATATTTTTTTTTTAAGAAAAGAGAGAGTGTAGGGGCTGGGATTGTGACTTAGCGGTAGAGTGCTCACCTAGCATGTGCGAGGCCCTGGGTTTGATCCTCAGCACCACATAAAATAAAATAAAATGAAGATTATCGTGTCCAATTACAACTAAAAAATAAATATTAAAAAAAGAGAGAGAGAGAGCTAGACCTCTCAGGTTGAAAACAAGAAAATAGGGATAGGCCCTACTCTGAAGGCAAAGCCCTGATTCCTGTGGATTCGTGGAAAGGGCCCAAGATCATCAACTGAGAATGGGGTGTGGAATGGCAGGAATGCTCATTTGGGCCTGGTGGGAGTGAAGGCAGGAGACAGCTCTGGAAAAAAAGTCAAAGATCCAAGTGTCCTTGCATAGCACACAGTCCCGGGGCCATGGTGAGGCCCTCCATGGCAGGGCAGGAGGGCAGAGTGAAGGGAAGCAGCTCCATTTAAGGCAACCAGGAAGCAGGGGTGGGGTGTGTGTGTGCTGGGAAGATGCACCCTTCTAGGGTTGCCCCAGCGACCCACCTGCCTGCCTACAGTTACCACCCAGGCAGCCCATTCAAGGACTGGGCTGATCAGGTCACAGCTCTCACAATCCAATCATTTCACCTCTGAACACCCCTGCATTCACACAGGAGCTTTCAAAGGACAGTTCCTATCTAAACTATAGACTAGTAGAGCACACCAAGGCGCCCAGAACATGAGAAGACTCCTCCGCTCTGGAGTCCAAGGGTTAAGGACTTAACAAGAGGCCTGAAAATGTGGCTAGTCCCATTTGCTGTGTGTGATCTTGACAAGTCCTTGAGGTCTCTGAGGTTCAGCTTTCTTGTTTGTACAGCTATGGGGTTGAACCAGATCAGATTTATGAAGAGTCCAAAGGTTCAGCAAATGTTTAATTCTAATTTCACTCTTTAAATGCATCTTAACGATTTAAAAATGTCTCATAAATGCAATACTCTACACCACATCTGCTGTTGCTAAATTTCAACACCCYGAGGCTGCCCAGCACATTAACACCCGGGACCACTGTAACTTGTTATTGAGTAGTCTCTATAATAATGCATCTCCTGTCATCTGTCTAGTCAAAGAATTTCTTACGACTTTTAGAGAAGCCATTTTTAGCCACAGTTGCCATCTGCACCACTGATCTGGAGGGATGTGGACTTTTTCCAAGATGGTGCAACCACAACGGGAAAGAAGGAAGTGGACAGTGCAGCTGATCTGGATCACTGGTGCCACCTCTATTTGTGTCATGTGAACAGGCCCACTGTCCCTATGGAGCAGACATTCAAACTTAGAAAACTTGAATTAATAGAATGTCAGAATGTCATTTATGTCAGCTTCCTATATGGATGTGCTGCAGCAGAGGTGGGTGGGGTTTCCCACCCATGAAGCCAGTGGCCGAGGCAATCCTGTCCATTCAATGAGCCTAAGCCAGCCAGCCGGCCCTGCTGCATAACCCTGTCTCAGCCTGCTCCTGCCATGATGACCCTGTTCAGGATTCATCATAATGTGGGGCTCGGGGAACTTCCAAATTGCAGACGATCAGAATATGCCACCCCCAAATCTGCCTCTTCAGCAGAAGGGTTATTTTGTACTGATTATTTTGAGAAGCTACAGAGGCAGAAGTTCTGGAAACAAAGTTACAGTTTTGTAAGGGAAGTTTACCTCGCCACAGAACTCTCCCCAAGAAAGGGTGCCTCCTCGCATCCCTTGAAGAGAAGGACAACCACAGCACTGGAGACCCACACCACCCGAGGAGGAGCTGCCCCGCAGACCTTGCTCTTGCTGCCTGAGCTTGCCTGGTACATCTCCACACCTGCTCTCTGCACACCCTCACCTGGGCTTAGAGAACAGAGGTAGTTAACCTCAAGACCAAGCCACCTCCATGAGATGTACTCACCTCTCTCCCATGTACCCGAGCTTCGTGTTATTAAACTCCAAGTGTTTTCCTCCTCTAAATCTGTCTTACATGGTGCTCAACGAGGCACTCTGAAGGGCAGGGGGAAAGTTATTCCTTCCCYTATACTGGATTGATGTGGACATGTGCCCCGAGAGTGGCAAGTGGGACRGAAGGTCTGGGTGTTGAGCCACCACCTGGGCCAGCTGTTCCCTAGCAACCTTCGTCCACCTGGGGGACCCTCTGCTCCCTTTATTAGGCAGGAATTCAGGACACCAAGATGGTGGAGGCAGGGTATAAGGATACCTCTGGAGGACAAGACAGGGAAACCAGTCATGTCCCTGTTTAGGATAAATCTCATTACCATGACAATTCCCACCCCTGAGGACTTAGCACCATAATTCCCACCATTTTAAAATGACCAATGAGTGTAAAATGGGCAATATTCTAAATTAGGGTGTTTTTTAAAAAATATTTTTAGTTGTGGATGAACACAATGCTTTATTTTATTTATTTATTTTTGTGTGGTGCTGAGGATGGAATCCAGTACCTCACACGTGCTAGGCGAGTGCTCCACCACTAAGCTACACCCTCAGCACCTAATTAGGTTTTTTAAAGTAACCAGTGGGGGAAAATTGGTGAAAATTCTAATCAGGTATAAGATAACCAATGGGGGCAAACAGGGCAAGGTCTTTAATCAGGTCCATATAGGGAAAAGAACATCTCCCAGCTCAGCATATAACACACTAACTTCCAGACACTGGGCCTTGAGCCTCTCTCCCTTGCTTGGCCCACTCTGCTCTACCTTACGGAGTGCCATTTTCACTTCCACCTTCAATAATCTGTACTTTGTATGTGTCTTGCTCAAATCTTTGTTCAGACACCAAGGACACAGACCCCAGCTGAACACAATGACTGGTTATCACTGACATGGAGAAGAAATGCATCAAAGGCAGACACAGACGCACAGGAGAGCCTGCACACACAGATGCCGAGCACTGCAGGCAGAGACAGGGCCGGGGCACGTGCAGGACTCCATGGAAAGAGTAAGAGTGGGGCTGCCATTGATGAGACTGAAGCAGCCCCGCCCTGGTAAACAAGCCTCAGCCCTGTTAGAAACAGGCCTTTAAATCAGGAYTTCTTTTGCAGCTGCTGCAAAATGTCTGCAACAGCAGCTTATCAGAAATGATACCCAGCACTAAAAATGGGCTGGGTGCTTTACAGAGGCGTCAGAGAAACCCCAGTGGGAGCAGCTGACAAGAGGATATGGGGTGGCGACTGCACTGGATTCCACAGCCTCCTTTCCCTGTGGCCCRACATGCTGTGTGTCTGGTGGCTAGATTTCTCAGCAGGGCATTAAGAACCTCTCCGTGCAGGCCCACTATGCTCAGGCTTAAAACAGACCACATTCTATGCACCAGTTCCCAATGAGGCGCCAGTTTACAGAAGGTGGCCTGGACTTCCCTTTTTCTAGTGAGAGTATTTTTAGCCCATCACTGCAAGGCCCCGAGTCTAGGGTGCATCTCCAGTTTCAGCAGCCCTATAGACTTCAGGATGCCATATTCGGAAACAAGGGAAACTGAAGAACAGTCAGCCACAAGCTTAAGCAAAGGAAGTCAGGGCAGAACCCCACTCAGGAATTCCAAACATTCTGCTGAGAGGCCAGTCCCTGGGCTGACCCCAACTCTAGGGAGGGTCAGTGCACTCGGCCTGACCTGATGAAAAGGGGAGGGGACCCTGGGAGGAGGAAGASAGAACCCTGCCTGGGCAATGCCTGGCCTTCTGGCCAGAAAAATGCCAAGTTGAAGAAAGGACCCGGTATGAGACKGAAGCTCTAAAATCAGTGCAAATATGTGGCACCTTTTAGGACTGAAATTGGACACGAGTTCTTTTTATTTGCAAAATCCCTAACAGGACAGCATTTATGTAATTAAATC